AACATGGAGACATAAGACTAAGGACTAAAACACAGACCTAAAACACTAAAGTACACAGATCAGGAAAAACACTAAACATGAACTAAACAGGACTAAGAACTAAGGCAAAGAACTAAAACGGAGGACTAAGAACTAAGATAAGAGACAAGACAGACACTAAGAAAACTTAAACATGTGAATGAACAAAAGAAAAAACTACATGACAAGATCAAAGCTCATAGAAACACAGAACCCAAAAACAGACTTAAACAGCAAAGACATGAACACAAAACCACACTCCTAACATTGTCAGGTGAGGATCAAGGCTCGCTTTGCTTAACCTTTCCTCTGGTCCTCTGGGCGATGATAATGATTTAAACGTTTTTTTCCCGCCGTTTTAACCCCGAAACCCGCCGATGTTGTTGCTCCGAGTCTAAGCGGGCGCCATCTTGATTATTGCGCAATACCTGCAAGCTGCCTGCCTGCTGTCGTCTTTTCTGCAGAGAGGAAACATGCCACTTGAGAACATACGGTGTTTTTGCCATTTTGTGGCCGATCTGTTGGAGATATATAGACATGCAGGGTATCAAATGAAAGGTCTGCTCAAGCCAGATCGATTGATACCCGGAGCATCCCCCATCACTGTGGGATGTTCCGTTCTAAATCTACAGGCCTGTAAATCATGGATATGCTTTTGGTGACAGGAATGTTGATGAATACTCCTGTTTTTATCAATATTTCAATGTTTTGTCATTTGGAAATAGGTTGTATGGACTGAAAAAGTGTTTTAAAGATATCTATCAATAAAAGTCAGCATTTTAACAATAAATATTGCCAAAATATGGAAATTCGCCTGGTATATTTTAAAATGTTGTATGATAACTGTATTTTAGTTTATTTTCATCAGATTTACAGTTACAATTGCATTCTAGGTGTATTAGAAGATATTCAGTTGCATTAAAAGCTAACTCAGGATGGTTTTGATGGTTTATTGCATCAAAATATAGCTTTTTTTACCAGGCGAGGCTAAAAATCTCAGATTTTTTCTTTATTGCATCTCCATGTAGTCTGTAAAAGTAAAATAAATATATTAATACACAATGGATTCATATTCCTTAGCTTCTGACTTTTCAAAGGAGACCAGAATTATGCATCTAGGCCAAATGGTTGAGGAGTTATTCCTGATTCATTTTGGGTATGTAATTTTAGGCGTTTATTCTGGAAAAAGGGGTCTGTTTTCATCAGGTTAATTAATTAGATAAGCAATCTGCAAATATTACCATAAAAAAAAAAACATATATATATATATATATATATAATATATTTTGCCAGTATTTATGTATTTATTTTGGATTGTGCTAATCCCTGCACCAGTTTGCATTTGTTTGCCTTGATTGGGACTCAAGCCTGCCTCTTCACTACGTAAGCCCTTTCACCTTTGATTTTCTTAGTTTTTTTGCCTGTGTGTCCTGCATTTGGTCCAAACCCCTGGTTTTCCTGTGTCTATGCTTCGCCTACTGTGACATATTGAGTTTGTCTCCCCTGCCTAGTACATAACACATAATGTACACACATTCAGCCAGAGAAAGACTGATTATGCATGCGCACATACCCTCATCTAATTATTTCAAAATGGCTACATGTCTTCTGATCACAGATCAGAAGGACCTAAGTATGATTAGAAGACAAAACTTTCACTTAATGTATTGTGAAAATATCTCTCTCTCTGCATACTATTGACCCACTTTATCCCACAGATATTTTCTCAAGTTCCCTAATATGCTGCCAGTGTGTGGCAGGGGTGTTTTATTTTGTTTATTAAAAATGGGTAGTAAAAAAACATTAAAAAGTCCAACTGAAATTTTATAAACACAATTTTGTAGCACAAATCCTCTCTGGTTCAACTGCTAATTCCTGTTACTTACTTAGACGGGCTGGTACATAATGAGCAGCTAATTTGTCTGCTTTTCTTCTCTTCACATTTGTTATGGGAAGAATTTTCTACTCTTTGCTTTTCACCAAGAGGTCCTCATTTGGTGTTAATTGCACTGCTCATTGTCATACAGCGAAACAGTGAACTTTGGGATGCATGTAGTTGTAAAATGATTGAAAGTGAAAATTAGTTTGTGAAAATTGCTACAAACAGATAAGAATGGGCCTGACTTTACCCAAGACTGTTAGCATGAGGAGTATAATAGAAGGATATAAGATTAAATGACAAATATCAGTTTTGAGCTGTTGAACTGTATCATGACAAATTTACTGCTGTATGGATGTGATGTACAGGCCTCATATCTTGCCATGAGACATAATTTGTTTTATTCAAATAGTTAATATAGTCATATTTACCTTTTTTTATTTTCCTACAACTATTGTGTTAACAGAGTCCAGATACAGTCAGTAAAGAGAGGGTGGATTAAAACTGAAGCAGGAATTTCTCACTTTCTGCTTTCTCTCTGTGTCACTGCAATTGCTCTTTTGGCCTATATTGCATGTAATTAACTGATGTTATTGTTGCAAGAATAACTGATTGCCTTAACAGACTCATCTCAGTTTTGAGTAAACAGTCTGGTAGCATAGCCATTTCTCAGGCTTTTCCGCTTGGATTGCAACACAGCTTGACAGCTCAGTAAAAACCTCTGAGCCCTTTGATCATGATATGCTCATTTCTGGATTGCTCCAATCCAACTCCCGCTTTACTTACAACTTGAGTAAGATGGAGCTGAAAAGGTTGTTAGAGCATGGGTGTTTCTCAGTCTACCTTGATCTATCTTTCCTGTAATAGATACATACTGTTACGCAAAGGATATGTAAGGCACAGAGAGAAACCAAGAATACTGAGTAAGTTGCCATGTTTCAGAGCAGGATGCTGATATAAGAGGTGCAAAAAATGGTTAAGTTTTGATATCTAAAACTTTCAGAAGCAGATTTGTATTCAGAAATGACGCTCGGGTAAACATGTCCAGAAATCAGACCTTCAGTTCTACATTAATCCTCTTTTCTGCAGCCCTGTACATGGCTGACATGGTTGCCCTGTGGAAAAGCCTGCTATGTGTTTGGAACGCTGGCTTTGAAGTCCAATGTTTCTATCAGGGTTCTAGAGTAGTTATCGCATGGTAGCGTTCCCTCTGCTTTTCGGAAGGGATTAAAAACTTGTTTTTTACAAGATGTTTTCTTGTATTTTCCCATTTGAGAAATACAAGGTTTTCATTCAGCAGTAACATTACAGTATGTTACTACTGAATATAGTTCTTGTCTTTTTTTGATTAGATGATCTCCTGCTTCTTTTTAAAAGGAATAAGTAAGCCTCTAGGTAGATGCATTTGTGTTTAAAACCTCTGTGAAGGTTCATCTCATTTATGCAGGTTGTACAACATTCATGTTAAGGTGCTCATAGACATCATGGTGTTAATAATGATCCAAAATGTTTTCAGTACCTGACACTCCATACTGGTCAGCAGAGTTGACTAAGCCTCTTGGATAAGTACTAAAATGTCTTGTTCATTTGTGTGTATGAGTTAGTAATGTGTTTGCTTATTGAGTCATCAATAGTTATCCCTTTTATAGCATCGGGGTTTGGTATACCAGAGAAAAGAGCAGACTAAATATGAAATCAGGTCCTGTGTAGTCCATAGTCTGCAGCTGAATGTTGTGTATAGAAAATAGTGTAGCCAAAATTAATTGCAGTGATCCAGTCGTGGAACAGGAGGGAAGGAACCATGATTAACTTACAAATTGTGTTTGTACTCTAACAAAAGGAGGGATTTCTCAGAGGTTGAGGTTTTGCCTATTGTATCCAAAGCAATACCACCAGGGGTAATTGTTTCAATTTAGAGACAAAGAAAGCAAAGAGGTGTATGTGTTTGTGTGCGTTTGTGTGTGTGTGTGTTTGGAAGGAAAAGAGTTTTCAAGGAATGTTGCAGTAAGAGTTTGGCGACGTTTCAACATGATGAATGATTTAATTTCATGTCTTGTTCTGCCCTTTGAACATTTATATTCTGCGAGTACTTTTTTTTATTTTTTATATTAGTTCCCCAAAAAAATTACAATACAGTGACTGCATGAAAAATCGAAAATTGCATCAAATTCTTTATGACTTGCTTCATATGTTACTTATTTATATTGCTATTTCACTTTCCCCTGAGGTATAGACTAAGACGGGGGCAACACTAATATCTTGCTTCGCTGCTCAGACCAGATCAAAAGCTGTCTTATTAGCCTAATTTCCAGTTTTTGACCCAAGCATCTAAAAACGGTGTGCCGCCATCACTTCAAATAATGACCACACACCTCTACAGTATGATATTATAGGCTTGTGTGTTGTGCATTTATGCAGCTAAATGTATGTTTATGCCTCTGTATATTATGTATATTATCTGTTCTCAGTACTAAAACACTAGAGCACTCAATGACTCACCAAACCTCCAGAGATGCAACAAGGGAAAACCCACCCACCCATCCACACACACACACCCACACACACACCACACACACCCATTGTGGATGTAAAAAGAGGCCTGGTCATAGAGTTTTTGCCAAACCTGTCTTAATAATGCGGCATGACTTGGCACATGCTGGACTGCTGCTCCCCCCTGTGACTGCTGGGATTGGTGTGCTTATTGTGAGCCCTCTGCTGCACATCACCTTTGGTTTGTGTGTGCGGCTCAGGCTTCTGAGTGGTTTCCTGTACAGTGAACACACATACACACGTAGATCTCTGGGGACAGCAACATCTGCCTGCAGTTTTATATCATGTAAACCCCAGGAAACCGATAGACAGGAGAGCTTGTTGCGTTTTGTCACGCTTCAGATCAGGAGCAAAGAACAAAAACTGCCTTGAAGCCTTTGGAATGATGCCTGAAAATATAGACTGCATGTGCAGGTGTTGAAAGGACAGGTTGTTTACCCACAATTCTGATTAAATGCCCAGGGAATACAGTAGGCTACTGTATTACATAGTGTTGTTCTTTTTGTGTTTGACTCCCCCCGTCACCCATTCTCTATTGTTCTTTCTCCTCCAGATATCCGGGGTTTGCAAACCTTTATGGACCAGGCATCTCGGCTGGGTCTGGATGTTTCCTTGCAGAGGGTGGACCGCAACGTCAGCCGAGTCTTTACTGACCTCTTCAACACGATGCGCACTGAGGAGCTCAACCGGTACCGGGACACCCTACGGCGGGCCGTGTTGCTCATGAGCCCCCGAGGTGCACAGGTTTTCATCCACCAGGTAGGCTACATTGCTGAGAATTTTCTTTGTCAAGGGCTCAGCAACACAAGCAGAGAGACAGTGAAAGGGCCAGACAGAAAACGAGCATTTATTCAATAAAGATGATGAACCATGAATGGAAACACATTTTCCTGGCACCTCTAATCTGATAACTGATCAAACATTTCACAGTGTCAACTGTAGTAAATGAAAAACAAAACAAAAAAATGAGTAATATGTGATGAATCCCTTAGTTTACATTGCCACTAAGACCACACTAGCGACCTTGATAAAACTGATGAAACAAGATGCAACCACACCCCGTGTGGAGTTCTGACAAAACCTAAAGCAGATGGCAGGGATCAGACTGAGACGTGCTTGGCCTTTGCTATTGAGCTGGCCAGAAGAAAACCTAATTTCAGGTGCCAATATTCAGCATAAAATATTTCAAATATTTACAGTAAGTATTTCTACAGTGAAACATTCATTCAACCTTCACTGCACTGCCAGCGAAGGGAGTTTTGTTTACTGTACTGATCAGCAGCACTGCATATAACCCCAGGCAAAGTTCAAACAAACTCAGTGTGTAGCCACCGGGGATTTGCATGTTGGCTCATACTATATGTTGGAAGCTTTTACTAACCTCTCCTCTATTTTCTCCTTCCACATCATGTTTGCTAATTATGGCAGCTGGAATCAGGAGAACATGTAGATATGACTTTCTGTGTCCATGGCTGACCTAAACACCAGTAAACTAAAAATAATTGGGGTAGATGTTATCATAACAAGATGTTATGTTCTCCTCACTAAGGGCAGCCAGAGGTGTAAGATTTTCCTTTAATCATCTGTAGGGGTTTTACTCATGATAACCGCTTGGTCAAACCCTGTTGAATAATTATGCACTGTAGTGCTTCAGCATGATTGAAGAACAGACTCTCATGGCATTGGCAGTGTTGGAGACAGTGAAAAATATGGCAACATAAAAGCGAGCTGAGTGGCTTGTTCTGCCCAGCAAACACGTTACAGTCTGACACTTAATCTTCCGCTCATCTGGCAAGGACAGTGAAACACTGATAAAATATTGAGATTCTCCAACTCAAATGAAAAGTTTAGACCTCAAGTACAGGCCAATTGACAAAGGGTTGTTTTAACGTTTGTTGATAAAAGGTACACACCCTGTTTGTTATTGCCCTGTGAATATATATTGTAGACGGTAATGCAGATAATTAAAAGGCTGGTCATCTTATGATATGTGAAATAGTCCATTTATAGTTAATAAGTATTAGCATTTCTCATTTTAGCCTATACTTTGCATATTATTATCAACATATTACATATTAATTACTGCTTAAAATGTTATCCAATGTTTCCTTTTTAGTGAGTTTTCATTTAAATTATCTTGTTGCCAGGACACTGAGACAGGTTTTGCTCTCAGTGGAGACCCTCACATTTCCTGTAATATAACTTTCCATGAAAGAAAGATTAAACTTTATGACATTTCTATAGGCCACCAAAAGTATACTTATCCATCTTACTTAGTGAAGATGAGTTAGCGTCACAGTATTAATGGAAGGAATTACAAAAGCAGTGATATATTGAATGCTTTATAAAAGGAATATAAAATGTCCAAATTTCATATTTTTATTGCATGTGGAGCTCACTTGCATTTAAAGATCACTGGAGGATAAGAGAGCATGTGACAGTACTGTGCTGTACTGTATGTGCTGCAATCGCCTCAATAACTGATTTATTGTTTTGAAACCTTAAAAAAAACAAATGACATATAGGCCTACAGTATATATGTGATTGTTTTTATGTCTCAAAGCGTTTACTCTCAGTGGACTTAATTTTATCTCTGCGAATCCCCAATCTACTGCAGTGACTCATTTCATCTTCCACATCTTTTAGCTTTCTTCTATCTATTATGAGAAAATACGGTAGCAAAAAGCTGAACTAACTGTAGGTCAAGAACTTCACTTGTATTCCAATTAGCTTTGTGTAAATATTCCACTATTAATCTAAAAGCTGATGCACTTATAGACAAATAAATCAGTGCACAGGTTGTGAATACACCAAGCCTTTCAAGTTTCATTAATGACATACTGCTTTGATCTTTTTCTGTACTCCAATGAATTCTGTTTTAGTACACACACACATGCACACAAACTGCTGTAGACATCTTTTCTTCTCATAATATTGCATTTAATCTTGCCAATTTTATTCTTTATCATTCCTTATACAATTAACATGAGGCATCTTGGGGACTAAGAAATAAGCACAGCTTCACATTCAGCACAGCTCCCAAATGCTCCTGTGAATATGTTAATATATTAGAAGTGATGGAGATTTGTAAATTCATCAAAGCTTCATTAATACCTTAGTAACTGTTGTCACGGAGTGTACCAACTCCCCACCAGAGGTACTGGGGGAGAAAATGTAAATATGCTAATATCTAAATGGAGAATGATGGCGATGCCTTTGAGAGTTAAGTACTCATGAACTGTTTCAGCATGAGAGAAAAAACTAAAGTTGTCATGGTGACTAAAAGTCGACAGAATGCAGGATCAAAAATTCTTTTCATGATGGTAATGTAAATGTTAAGTTTAGATGTGGTTAATTAGGGGGCTTAATGTTATTAGTGGCCTCGACAATTTGTGCAAGGTGTGACAAAATGCATTAATTCAGTGCATAAGTGTTGTTGGTGAAACTATTTGAAGTTGATCAGGTATATCAGTGTAGCAGTTCTGTTTACCACTGAGACCTGGTCTGTGTCCCGCTTTTTCCTGAATTCTTCATCTGTGTGTTTCAGAGTTTGTTCAGCTCTTTTTTTACTTCCTCTCTTCCATTCTGCTCTACTCCATGCTTATTCATTATTCATACCTAATTAAATGAATAGGTTTTCAAAGAGACACAAAATGACCACAAAGAGACCCAAAACAGCAACAGAGAAGCAAACGGCAACAAAGATACAAAATGACTACAAAGATGCCACAAACCAAAAAGAGACTCAAGATGATTACACAGAACCACAAAACGACCACAAAGAGATGCAAAACGACCCATGAAGAGGTGCAAAACAACTACAAACAATGCTGGCGTGTGTCTGGGGTGGGGCATCTTGTGCATGTCTGTGCCCAGGGGCCCATTTTTTTATAATGTGTCCATGGCTACTTATTCCTCTACAAGGACAGATGGGGATGAGGGGAAAATGTCCCAGCATGCATCAGGCAAGTGAAGGATTTGTTAGGCCTATAGTTCATCAAATGACTAATAAAGCTAGACCATATTAATAACTTTAATTTCAAGTTCTTAATTCACCTGACTAACATTAAAAGACAAAAAGTGTGTTGGCAAAGTCATCCTAAATCACATATTCCTTTATGTTTAATTCTGATGATGCTCTACTTCCTTGAGTAACACATTCCGTCACAAGTCACTTCTACAGTCTACTCTCAGGCCACAGTCATTTCTCATACTGTGAACAAGATGCATATGTAATTGACAGTGTCTGTGGTTTTATGCTGAAATTCTGGGCTCATGTTTTCCCCCGTCCAGACAGTTGCCATCTCATCTCTCGTTCACTTTGGCCATGAGAGGATGTAGCGTCTTCTGTCAGCTTCAGTGCCGCCTCGTTCCTGACACCCAAATACTCTCTGTTCCCTTCATGATAGGGGAACTTCACTTGAGTCACGCGAGCCTTTTAGAGAGACATAAAGTGGAATTTTAAGCTTTCAACTGTCCCATTTCTACGTCCTTGGGTTGTATTAGTGAGCATTTGCTAAATCACTTACATAAAATTATGCACATTCAGGTACAAAAACTTGACACATTTTATGAGTTACCAAAGTCACTCTCCAATTAATTGTCAACCGTGCAGCTCCAAGCTATATATCTTGAAGACACCCAAATTAGATTTTTGGCTCCCTGTGTTCTGGCTTTGGGAGATAGTCATTCATTTTCACCAACATTGATTAAAATGCTTTAAGCAATTTAAGTACCTGTACTGAATATGAATTCTGAAAACATGACGGTAGTTTTTTAGGTACCATAGGTACCGATCCAACACGTGAAAAAGGGCGACAAGTGCGGCTGCAGTGACAGCTACGCTTTCTTTGAGACTGCTGGCATCGCTGTGTAGCCTAGCCAACAATGTTCTATACGATGTTTGCAACGGCTAAACGCTAAAGGCTACAGGGTTTAAGCTAACGTAATATAACTATAGCTCGTAGTAGTAGGCTACTGTCCTCAACATTTAGTCAGGCATCTGTCATCAAAACATTAGCGTTTTAAATAAATATTTCCAGTCTAATGGTGTGTGTGTGTGTGTGTGTGTGTGTGTGTGTGTGTAACCTTTGCTGTTTTCTTACAGTCATTGAGCCATAGCTGCAGTTTTCCTTTCACCCATATCATTTTTATTTATTAGCCTACTTGAAGGCAACATGTCACTATTGTTTTTTGTAATATCAAATGTTTTTATTAATTTAAGGAGTGTATGTGGAAGTACACAGGAGTTACTGTTTTTTGCCGTGGTATCAAATTGGGAATCAAGAATCGTGGTACTGGTATTGCCTACTAAATATCTGGTATTTTGACATCCCTATGGGAAATACCCTGAAAGCGTCATTCAAATCGACCACTAGGGCACACTTAAAATGTAAAAAAATGGCCGTGGCATAACAGAAATCAGAGCATAAATCAGTTGGCATGCCGGCTCTGCAGGCCATTTGATGGATAAGTGAGGTATGCCTCCTGTGCGGCAGCTACAACAAGCTACAAGAGTGACAAGGACTGCTGCCTGCTGCCAGGGAACGTGAGTGGGACGAAGAGATGCTGCACCGGGTGGCAGGAGGGTGAAGAGAGGATGGCAGGAACAGAGGGGGCACAAATAAGAGGCATACAAAGGCAGGGATAGAAAAAAAGGACTGAGGGAGATGGATGTTGGGAGGAAAGGTCAAAGATGAGAAAGATGCGGAGCTACAAAGGGCTCTTCCAACATAATAAACCACCTGTGTATGAAACAGTAATGGGTGAAATCTAATGGATGAGATGGCAGTGAAGACAAAAGAGATGAGTGCTGAGAGGCTGGAGCTAAGTATGGTATCTGACAGACAGTACCTATTTAAGAAGGAAGGACTTTAAAACCAGTGGAAAAAGATGGCTGCTGTTTTCAGAGATAATTAAGGGATGGATTTTGACAGGTATACATTTTTTAATCTGTTGCACATCTAATGTGGAAAAGATGAAAACTTGTTCAGAAGTTTATTAAAAGTTTCTCCCACCATGACAGGTAAAATGAACTGTGCTGTAAGGAGATGCAGTGTGTTTTCCTTTAAAAAAAACAAAAAAAACAAATCAGCTAACACTAAATTGTACCTTGTTTACTCCCCTTGTCACTCTCTTTAAATGTGATTGAAAAAACTCAGTGTACGATCATCTGATTTTAAAATTCTGACATATTGCACAGAAAAGCTCATAATTATCATCATGTAAATTTGGTAAAGCCACTCAAATTTAATATTAACACCTGCCTGACTAATTGCAAATTGCATCGCTTATTTTTGAGTCATTTTTGTGCAGGAATAAAAAAAATGTCAGAACTTGTGGCTCAACCGTGGCAGAATATACTGTATTATACACTACCTGTCTTTGAGAGTAAATATTATCCTAATTTGTATCATTACTATGTCACAAAACCTCCAACTGAAACACAGATAACCTGAAACTGTCACTACATGATAAAAATGTGAAACCCTGAATAAAAGCTAAAATGATTAAAGTGAGACAGATGAACCTGCTAGACTGGAGGGAGTGGAATACCACATTTTCCTCAAGCCTTATTTTAAGTTTTAGCTGGTTCTCTTTGGTATTTTGCTTTTTCCTCAATCTGCCACTTTATGGACCATCTCTGCCAACCAAATTCCAAATTCCAATGTTTTGTTCAACATCCAAATATTTCTTTCAAAAGGAAGCTGGCATCACTGATCAAATGTACTGGAGCTGTTTGTGTACTCTTTCAAGGTCATTTCTTCTATTCAGCAGAACTGTGGCATGAAACCTACTTTAATTTGCTAGCTCTCTCAGAAGAACTTCACACGAGTTCAACAAATCTGGCTTGATGATAGTATTTCAGAATATAATTCCATCTTCCATCTCTTTTGTCCACTCGTTTCAAAAACTTCACACCTAACAGTGAAACTTCAAGTTACCTCTTTTCTAAATGACAACAAAAGCACAGACGGGCTTTTAGAACACATCTGTGTACCCATTACACTGCATGGCAGACAAGGTTGCGGCGTCTGAAACAGAGTCACTCGTCACAACCTCTGGTCACAACTTGAGACCATGAATTGCTGATTAAAAATGGACCCTTGTGACACTTGAGCGTAAGATGTAAAAAACACATTTGGCCTTGCTGGAAATGGTATTTTGATGCCAAGGACTCTTCCGTCTTATTGTCACAAGCGCATGTGGACGGTGATTTAAAAGTGGCCCGAGTTGACATGCCATTATGGGGTGCTTTGGAAAAAGACAGCAATGATGGCTTTTCTTGCTTGGGGAATTCAGTAACAGCTTGTGGGGCACAACACACACACGGACATGCACATTAAAGACACTTCACCCACACCATATAGCTCTTGACAGTAAGCTCTTACTTTGTAACATTTCTGTGTCCTTCACAGTTGTTTTGTCAAAGTGTGTCCCAGGTTGAAAACACTGTGGGGAGTATTGAAGATTGTGTCGACTTTAATGTGGCAGGGTGCATTTATGTTTTTTTTTGTTTTTTTTTATAAATGTTCCAATAATAGATGGCAGACTTACAAAAGGTGTAAAAAATCATTTGCTCAGTGCCATGCCATGTTGTCAGTCCAAAAGTAACTTCTAATTTTATTCAGCACTTTAAGTTGTTATTAAACCGTAGAGAAGGTCTAAGACCATGTTCCTCCTACAACACTTCTCAGCAGCAACAGCTAATATCTGCTGTGTCTAGATCTTCATTTGTTGTGCCCAGTACATTTTCTTTGCACACGTTTTCCCGTTCTTATTGTTGCCCCATTTTTTTTCTATGTCTGAAGCACAACTTGCTATACTATTACATCAAAAACAATCACAGTCATTAGATTCTTATAGCTCTGCTAATTGTCCCTGGTCAGTTTTTTTCCTCTCTCTCTCATTGTCATTTTAAAAAATATTCCTGCAACCAACACAGTTGTGTCTTGGCACCTGGACTTCTCCTCTCCCTCAGACGGAATAAAGCCGGCCATGACCTGGAAGTGTTTATCCCAGCATGACTCATTAACCTGACACAGAGAGCATGGTGTTGGTGCAGGGGAGCGTAGTGCTGGCACAAACAACATCCTTTGCCTTCATGCACACACACACACACACACACACACACACACACACACACACACACACACACACACACACACACACACACACACACACACACACACACACACACACAGAGAAGGGTGCCCAAACACATGCACACCTTCACTGCGTCACCCCTCATTCCTTCCCCAGATCCATCACTGCCAGTTCCGTCTACACCCCCTCCCTTAGTGCTAATGAGTGAGGCCAGGTATAATTACAAAGCTCCAGAAGTACTTTTCAGCCTGTATTTTTTTTAATGCCGTAGAAAAACACTCTTGCAGCCACCCAGAAGATTCAATTAGACTGGCCCAGAATACAAATGAAGGCGACCGTGGGTTGAGTGACATCATTTGGAATCAGAGGCTGGGAGAGTTTATGGAGGTGAAACAAACAAAGAAACCCATTAGGGATGGCCAATACTTAGTAGGGGGAGTGCAGGTAAAGTTTTAAATAGAGGACATTGTGTGAGAGATTACACAGTATCAGGATTATCTGTACTGTATAAACAGACAACGGGTGCAGTCTGGGAATTTAATCTTGTTTACTGATTGCGTGATTATTTAGATGAATATCTTCTTCAGTTGACGGGAGAAGTCCCCATTTTGGTTCAGTCATGTTACATCTTAAACACAATAGCTGCCATATAATGTCCCAATTTAAAAGCTAGGGCAGTTTCTAAAAAACTGCATTTGTGCACTAATCTATAAATAATTATAAACTACTGTATACACTTCCTGAAATGGAATTCATACAGTATGTATTTGCTATTGAGCATCTTTTCAATGTTTGAATTGAATTCCTAGGTTTTGTAAAATGGTTTGTGTCTAAAGGCCAACCAAGGACTGTGGATAAAAATAAGTGCTAGCTAATAGCTCACTGCATGTTTATAAAAAGTGTCAAATTTCACAACCCATGATACAGCTACACTTGCTGGTTTTGTTAGTGCCCTAAAATATCCCCAATTTTTTCTCAATACCTCAAATTCTTCTCTGTAATGGGCCAAGTGTCATTACCATGGAGCATAGACAAACTGGTGCACACAGAAAGCTGCTAAAACTAAACTCCTGCACACTGTTGTCTTGAAACTCAACTGTGACCTAGGAGGGGGATTTAAAGGGGCTATTGATGCTGAAACAAAACACTTTACTTCAAGGAGGGTTGTCAAATGGCTCAATTCCATAAAAATAGTCTTCAAAATCTGTGCAGCAAGGTATCATGTATTTAAGCTTCAAGTTTTAAACTGGATCCTACATTTTCCATAATTGAGTTCAGTAGCATCTTTTGATATACCAGCCAATGTCCCTGTCTTTCATACTCTACATCCCTGGTTTGTGACAGGCTCTGTTATACATTTGGTTTTCCAGACTCAACCTTGGTTACATCATCTGGGTTATTTTCTCAGACTTGCCAAAGCTCCTCTAGAGCCACAGAAGACATTATACATTGTATGTTTTTTAGCAGGCTGAAGAGTCCTCCCATCTCTAGTAAACTCATGCTGATTTTTGTTTACTTTTAATAGTGTTGTGGTGTGGGGACAGAGTGGACCCAAACACAGGTTTTATTGAAGGGGAAAAGGGGTTGAGGGACTGGAGGTGAGGGAGAGGCGGACGCCGGGGAAACCCTGGCACAGGGAACCGAGGAGACGGAGACAAGGGAGTCGGGGCACTGGGGACCGAGGCATGGGGAGGAGCCGGGAGGACTCCATGGAAGAGGTCTGAGGGGAGAGGGCAGGGTGGCAAGCCCAGCTGATGGAACAGAGGACGGAGGTGAGTGAACCTGAAGGGGAGACAGACAGGGTTAGACATTTGGGAAACAAAGCATGCAGAATACGCAAGAGCTTGAGTGGTGAAGGAGCAACGACAATCAAGCAGGGATTGACTGGAGAACCGGGGTAGAAGTACTGTCAGAGGAGGCTGACTGCAGGCAAGAGGTGGCTGACGAGATGCAGGTGCGGGTTGTTGGCTGGGCTCAGGAGAGCACACGCAGGGGAGGAGACAAAGGCAGGCATAGTACAGGAAAACAGAGTCACAAGCAAAAGGAGAAAAGCAGGACACTCACAGTCAGCTGGGCTGCCACCACAACAGGGCCCCCCCAATGGCCGCCTCTAGGCGGGCCTTCCAGTTGGCCGGGAGGACTCAGCAGACGTCCGTTGGGGGGAGTCGCACTAGGATCCAGCTGGCGGGGTCTAGGGTCCAAAACAAGGGACTTCGAGAGGGGGACAGGGCTGGGGAATATAAATAAAATCAGGCGAGTGGGCAGGGCAGAACTGAGGGACCAGGGAGTTCAGACGGGTGTCCCAAGGGCAGAGGGACCCCCAAGGGCGGAGCAGGGGAACCGGGGAGTTCAGGTGGACAGCCCGGAGGTCGAGATCCTGAGCTAAGGTCCACGGGGGGCTGAGCAGAGGCCGGCGGAGAAGGCATAACCTCTCCGGAGGTCGGGCTAAGGGGCAACTGGGATGAGGGCGAGACCTCTCCAGAGGCCGGGGAGTAATGCTGAAGGCCAGCAGCGAGACAGTAGTAGGGGAAATCAGGGACGGGTCTGCTGGGCTGAGGGCCGGCGCCGAAGCGGTAGCAGGGGGAACCAGCTGGCCAGCGGCGCTGGCAGGCTGGGAGAGACAGGTTGGGGGCTAGCAGGCCCCATGTTAAGCCCAGCATGAGGAGCACTGAGGGAGTTCAGAGCCGATAGCAGGGATCCTTTGAGAAGGCCCACCTCCCAAGCCAGCCTTGCCACACCAGGAGCATTCAGTAGGCAGGGTTGTTGGTCCAGAGCCTTCTCAAAACGGTCCAGCGCTTCCAGTCTCGTGCCAATCCTCAGTCCTTAATTCATAGAGAAGGTTGTCCATGATGGTTCTCACCTTGCGCAGATCTTCTGGCGAAGGGCGACGCAGACACCAGCAGGGGAGGCAGGCGCATGTTCGGGACTCCTTCACGAGTGGAGGGGATATGGCGTGGACGAAGCTAGCGTCCGAAGGGGGGACAAGATCCCTCAAATGAGGTTCAGCCACCAAAAGCTTTCAAGACAGACAGGGTTAGTCACAAGGGAAACAAAGCACAGGGAAACAAAAATGACATGCAACAGCTTGAGTGGTGAAGGAGCAACGACGATCAAGCAGGGGTTGATTGGAGAACCGGGGTAGAAGTACTGTAGGCTGATTGCTGGCAGGTGTGGCAGGCAGAGGAGGTGGCTGACGAGATGCAGGTGCGGGTCGTTGGCTGGGCTCAAGAGCGGAGGGAGAGAGAGAGGGAGAGCACACGCAGGGGAGGAGACAAAGGGAGGCAGGCAGAGTACAGGAAAACACCAGGGGAAAACAGAATCACAAGCAAAAGGAGAAATAAACAGGACACTCACCGTCAGCCGGGCTGCCACCACAACATAAAGGGCATCTTTAAATAACTGAATAAGAGCCAAATACATCTATCCAACACACAAAGTCATGTATAAACGTCATCTAGTCACCAGTCATCCAGTTACCGGGATGGAGTCTTCAGAACACTGTAACCTCAGTGATCATCTGTTGAAGGTCGGAGGTGAAGAGGTGCGTGGAGTTTATCTAGCTTACTGTCCGCTGGCGTTGCTCCCTCCTGGCTTAACGCTCCCACCTCTGGACCCCTGTCCTCTCCCTCTGACCCTCACTGCTGCTCCTCTATTCCATTTTCCTCCCAAATAACAGCGTGACAAATTGAGCGTGGCAGAAAACGATCTATCATTGTCCTACATCTCATCCTCCTCTGCCCTCTGTTCCCTCCTCTTCTATCTCTCTTTGTCTCTTTTCCCCTTTCTGTCCCTGTTACAGGACATTCCCTCTTTTCCTCTTTGTATTTTTCCCCATCTTAATGGTTTCATGTTTCTCTCTACATGGACACTTTATCTTTCTGCCCTTGCCCCCCCCCCCCCCAACATCATCTTCTTTTTTCTCCTCTCTTATTGCACTGTATACTTTGGTCTATGTCTCCATTTCTCTTCCTCTGTTAACTTTTCATCCTCTCTACAAACTTGATTTGTTCTGTAATATTCTCTTTCTCTATTTGTTATGTCATATCTCTGTTTGTGTTACACACAGATGCATTATGGTATTGATTCATACACTTTACCATCAGTTGTCTTTATTCCCCTGCATTAATTTAGTAAAATGGAGATAGTCACTATAATGAGTACAGTACAGACAATAATAGACCCAAATGTTAGTATTAGATGTGTTGTAGTGTGTCATTTTGTAGCCCTTGTATAACTCCAGTCCCATTCCCGGCTTACAGCAAAACAATTTAGTTGGTGTGACTACATTCAGCAACTCCACGTGATTTTTCTCCATAATAGGCCAATTGTTATTACCATGGAGCGTGGAGGCACTGTAGTGCACACAGAGAAAACATTAAATGCTTTGTGTGATGAATAAGTGGTACAGTTTGACAGGTAATTAATAGATGGCTCCCTCTCTGTCCATGATCAATTAATGGTACCTCCTGGGAGCTGGTGAAAAACTTAACGTTCTGTGGCCACGTGTTTGAAATGTTCAGAATGTGTTTGCCTGTATGCATGCATTACACTTCCGACAGCACAGCACTTTGTAACAAAGTAGTTTACTCCCAACAAAATGTAAATAAAGCCACCTCTTTAGGTACATATTTCATGGGAGGGCAGAATAATCAAGAGAAATGGTTGTATATCCAAACTCTGGTATTAAAATTGAAACCAGGGCAGTTGGCAAGCTCTTTACTTGATGGATTGTTATTACTTGCACAAGTATGAATCATCTGCTGAAGTTAAAGAGCTTTTCATAAATAATTTGCTTTTTCATAACTAATGCTGGAGAATTAAAATTGTGGTGTATTTGAGGTGATTGCTTATCCCATCACATTAATCAATGTCATATGGGAAAAGGGCCTTCAAAGGGTAAATAACTTGAACATTGTGTTAGTGATGATGGTGGTAGAAGTAATTATTATGATGATGATGAAAGTGATGAAAACAATACAATATTGGCACCACTGCCCCACGTTAAATAGCTTCCTAGCCCCTGTGATATCACTAACCTTGTCCCTTATGCTTCTGCTTAGTAAGAATAGGAAGTATTTAATACACTAAGGTGTACAGAACAAAAACCTATCTCAGTTTATGTTTTTCAGTGGCAGCACCCAAAACACAGTCATGTCTTGACAGAGGGTGATAAACTTTGATTGATGTTTGCGATTATGAGTCATGCTTAGCATTATTGAAACAGTAAATGCCTTGGGCAATTTTTATTTCTTCAGGAGGGAAAACAGTTAATCTCATAAAAGGCACCCGGTGAAGTCAATCTCATTTATCTGGTGACCTCTAGAGTTGTACATGAGTGTCAGAAGTCCTTTAAATAGCAGTTGCTCTCTTTAGAGCCTGTTGTTCTCCTTTTGCTTCAGTTTAAGTTCACTCTTAAACTTGAAAACACTTGTGTAGTTCATATTCTTGTTAAATTGGAGTAGTCAAAATACAGTTACTTTGTCTGTATATGTTAATAGCTTTATCACTGTATATTTGTCTCCCTGCAGCATAGCATGAGATGCAATTATACCAAAACCCTACAATATTGTCGGCAAGTTCTTTCTCTGTGAAATTGTTGCTGTGGGCTCAGGATTATTGCCCAATTCCCAAGTGGCAGACTCAAAATACAGTAAGAGTTATAAGGGTAATTGCAAAGCCAACCACTTGGAAAAGAAGTACTGTATTGGTACCCAGCACACAGCCTACCACAGTCCAAAAGCTCTGAAGAAAATGTTCAATTAAAGTACAGCCCCTGTGGAAAGAATATAAATATAAACTCCAGCCCAGGTGTCCTATTACCCTTTTCTTACCTGTTTTACTTGCTTACTTTTTCCTTTCCTTATTTTGCTCTTACACAAATATGTATGAGTCAGTGTTCAACATGTGCACATGCATATTCATATGTTCCTTTGATGTCTCATTTGCAGGTCTGTGTTAACACCCACATTTAAAAAATATAACCCTATACTGTATCTCATTAATGCATAAATGCTGTATGTGAAGATATGCAGGTGGCATTTCCACAAAATGTGCATTTTATAAAAGTGAGATTAGTTGCATAAATATTTTTATTTAGGTATTTTTCAGTATATCAGTCAGTCTACGGGAAATTACTAGAGCAGCTTGATGTTGCAGCTGTTTCTGATTTGTTTGTTTGCCTCAGGTTTGTTGGTTATTAAGGAATTCAGTAAACAAGAGACCATTTATATTTACTTTTACATAGAAAAACATTCATAGTGAGTAGTTTACAGTAATATGTCATTTGATTGACTATTACATTTTGGAAGCTTTCAAAGCAATATACATTCCCACATATCCCTAATCATGCGTATTATGGATTCAGTCAGGTTGTGAATTATACAGTGACAACAGTGGGGGTCAACTTTTTTTCCACGTCCAAAAGAAAACCCAGTTCAGCACAGGCATGGGCTTTAGTGAACTAAAATCTTACAATGCTTACAATATCCTTGCTTATTTAACTAATGTCATCAGTCTGTAGATGATGATAAATCAAATTCATTACACCAGTTCATGGTATTCTAGAGCAAAACTGCCAGCAAGTCAGACACACAACAGCAGACCATCATGGCCACTCAAAACAAACCGTCACAGTGTTGATACAGAACTGAAGACACATAGAATACAGTCTGGATTATTATTATCTCTAATTCCTTATTTTTATCATACTCATCAAGTTTGAAGTTTCAGCTTACTCTTTTTTAGCAAATATCTCCTTTTGTCTTGCTAATGTTGACTGTGAATTATGTAATCTGTGTCCAATAAAACAGTAGTCATACACTGTTGTTGGGGAATAGGAATTATATACATTGATGTAAAAATGTATCTCTACAATAACTAATCCCCAATTTCACTGCTCATGCCTAAACACCAGTGTTAGCTGATAATTACATAAAATGTGAAATTACATTGTTATAATGAATGGGTGGGCTCTCAGCTAGCTAACATCAGATAGCTCATTTTAAGTAAAAGAAATGCTAATTATGAATCTCTAAAGGTAGGAAAGTTAAGTGTATTAAAGCAGCTAGATAGTCAACTACTGACATTAACCTGCTGCGTCTCCATTAGCGTGTGATGCACCGGACTGGAGCAGCTGCGCTGCGAGTGATGCAGACAGACATGTTCAACTAACGTCAATGTTAGGAAATGGTACGGTCCATTTTAGGGGTGTCTGAAATTGTATTTCAAGATTCTTGAATATAAGGCCTGAGTACTGAGTACACAAATATATTGTAATATTTACAAATACAGGTAAGAAAGACCCCCCTGAACTGTTGGTTTGACCTCTTTTGGGGGGGTCCAAACCATAACTAGGGGGGTCAGACCCCCCCCCCGTAATTCAAACCGTGGATTCAGTCCCAATAATTCAATGCTATTATTTATGCACCAGGTCATCAACACCTCAGTACAGAAACCTGCTGTTTTGGGAAGATTTTTTTTCTGACAAGTCTGTGGGAGTTTTCATAAGGCTGTGAGTGTTTCTGCATTTTCATTTGCTGATTTACTTTGCATTGGGAGCGTTGAATGAAATCCTTGACTGATTTTGATGTAACAACCCAAAGAGCACTCTGGAGAGAATCACTGTAAATGCTAATGTGCAAATGAGCACAGGGGACATATTCTGAACTTGGATTTCACTCTCTGCCAAGAATGTTGCTTGATTAATTGTTCCAACACTTACCCATGATCTCGTATTTAATTTAAGCATAGTTTAGAGCTGAAATTTTGACAACATTATCATGCCAAGAAGCCTTCTGTCAAATAAAAAATTGGACCATGTTAGAAATGTACTACATGAATCTGTGAATCCATTTTCCCTCATCCCTCTGACTTTTTCCCTCCCTATGTTTTCGAACAAGCAAGCATGCAGGCACACACACTGGCATAACATCACAGGTGACTGTGGTGCTACATTCAACCATGGGCATTGTGACCATGTGTTATTTTACCCCGGCCAGAAAATAGACTTTTGCTGTCTCATTATAGAAATAATCAGGATTCCCCACAGAGAAATGTAATTGTAGTTATAAAAGCAGTTATTACCTAAAACTACAT